CCCCAAAACCCCAAAACCCCAAAACCCCAAAACCCCACAAACAGATATAAGTATTGGGATAAAGAGAGTTATAATTAATATATGAATCACCCCCAATACAGTCAGCTATTTAGCCTTCTTGGAGATATCCAACTTCCTATTGATCCTCAATTGTAAGTCAGATTTATTTTGCCGTTCTCTATTGAGAGAGGTCTTTCCTCTTCTTATTGCTTCCTTTGAACTTGTCTTATACTCCTTTGTATAGCAAGTTTCCAACGTTGAGGATTCCCAGCTCTTTTTCATGCTCTAATATTTGTTTCAGCATGAAGCTCAATGAACTGTGTCATTCTTCGGACTTTGCTCCTATCATCAAAGATGAAGAACAACCAAGAAGCTTCATCCAAATCAGGGATTTGCCAAAGCATGAGAATATGCCCAGTCTTTCACACAGATCCTCTGCTCCACACAGAAAACAGATTGAAGACAGCGACTCGACGCATCACTCTCATGAAAGTCCTAAATCTCAGCCAAAAGAGAGTAAAGAACAGAAGAGGAAAAACAACCTCAAGAGCATAATGAGGTTGATCCAGTCCAGAAAGGCCGATACGCTCCAAGAGTTGAGCCATCTCAACGACGACGACATTATCCTACAAAGGAGCCCTAAGCCAATATCTAAAAACTCTAAGCTCTCACACTTCAGAGGGGTATCCCACAACGGTCGTAAATGGCAAGTCATGATAATGGGATTCGCCAAGAAGATTTACTTTGGAGGGATTTCCAGTGAGGATGAAGCTTCTCACAAGTACGACAAATACGCCATCCTAATGCATGGCCTCGAGGTAAGCCTTTCGTGAGAACCCAACTGACATTTGTCATAGGCCAAGACGAACTACAACTACTCTAAAAGAGAGTTATGCCAGATTTTAAATTCCGATGTGGAACTTGACTAGATCCACAGATTCATTAGGATCATGAATCTCTAAATTATAGTATATTATGATGTTTCAAAAACAGTTTAATGACTAGGGGTTTTGGGGTTTTGGGGTTTTGGGGTTTTTGGGGTTTTGGGG